TAAATTACATAATATCTACACCATCTCTTAGTCTAGTCTTACGTATATATCATTGTTTTATGCTTTGAAAAGATGTTTAGAATCCTAATTAATTTAAAATATAAAAGAAATCAAATTTTTTAAAAGGGTCTTCTTTTTCAAAAATTTTAAAAATCTCAAAGATCGATTTTTACAGAGTTCTTAGAAAATTGAATCTTTTTTAAAAACATAATTTTTTTTTTAAATTTATATTTATATTTTGCGCCTTGATACGAGTTGATTCGAATCAAGTAAAATGTGATTCGAATCAAGTTGAATAATTCGAATCACTTCATTCGAGTTGGCACATTACTAGTAGTTACTATACAAACAAAGAATAATATATGCACTTTATAATTAACATAAATTATAATTAAAATATTATAATTATTTTTGTAAATAATTTTTACCATAAATGCTTAATCAAAAAAAAAAGATTAATATTAATTTGATTTAATTTTTGTACTAAAAACATTGTTAAAGTCGGGAAATATTGATTCGATTTAATGACATCGTACATTAAGAGGTGAACTATATTATTAACATTTGATTTACATACTAATTGAATTTTAATACGTTTTAATATGAGAATATGTGGCTTAAATAGTAAAATATTATTATTATTCTATATAATTTTTTTCGTTTTTCATTGTTGGTTGGGTTTCGGTGTATTTACTTTTATTCCTTATATATAAACAGATTTTCAAGAGTGGATTCAAAATCTGAACTTAACCAAAGATATAAATGATATGTTGAATCGTACTATCGTATCGCAACCTTTGACTCTTTGACTCAACCTCAGATGAATGTAAATTTTATGAATGTATTTATACCCATCAATTTATAAATTTACTGCATGTGTAATGTTAATGATCTACAATTTTGTAATATAAATTGTTAACTAGTTAAGAGAAGAAATGAAACAAAAATTAAGTAGTTATTGTTATAACTTGATGGTACTGCACCGAATATAAAAATTTTAGTTGGATTTAATAGGTACAAATATTCAAAGGTACTTAATAATAAATCAGTATATCCGGCCAAGCTCTATAAAAAACCTTTCTGTAACAAGTGTGCAGCCTATACAAATAAATTATATGTATATAGTTAAATAAATTCACACACACACATATATATATATATATATATATATATATATATATACATGTATATATAATTTAGAACTACTAGGTTAATGATTTAAAATTCCGGTTTGTTTTTTATGCAAATAGTTAATGGTTAGCAATTGATAATGAGTTTAAATAATTTATAATCACTATCATTTACATTTTTGTTTTAGTTTAGTCGACTACTGAATAAACATTAATGACTACAACAATTTTCTATTTCAAATTGTAATAAATGCTAGAAGACTAATGCTAGAAAAATACTATTCAAAATCAAAATTAGTGTATTCATTAATTAGACTTATTTTTAACTTCCTGAAGAAGAAGTTTATGTTTTCATCAAAAAATCCGATTCGCTAATTTTATGTTTTCTCAACGTTTCAAGCCATTCTGAATCGAATGAGACCAAATTTGGAAAAAGTATGTGTGTGTATGTGAACAGATTTTTGCCGTAAATCGACGTTTTCTCAAAAACGGCTGGACCAATTTCAAAAATTTAAAAGCCATTCGATGTATCTCTATGAGGACTAGCGTTTCTCAGTTTTGTGCGATGATCGTCCGAGCTGTTTCTTTGTAAATCGCAGAAAAGTGAAAAATTTTTCGTCCACGTTTTAGTCCGCAATTGTGAATCGATTTTGAGATTTCAAAAACCGTTCGAAAGATATTGGTTGGGAATCGTGCTGATTACTACGGTAGATACCATAGTCTTATAGATCATACTAAAATATTACGGCCCCACGACAACTCGTTTACTTTAAAAATTCTTCAAAGTTTGCAAAAAATTAGTATAGTTTTTTTGGCATTTGTCAAAATTAGACCTTTGATCGACGTTTTCTCAAAAACGCCTGAACCGATTTCAGAAATTTAAAAGCCATTTGACGTATCTCAAGGAGGACTATCTTTCCTCAGTTTTTGTGCAGCGATTGGCCGAGCCGTTTCTTTGTAATTTGGAAAAAAGTGTTGAAATGTTCGTCCACATTTGAGCTCATACTATCAAATCGATTTTAAAAAATCAAAAACTGTTCGAAAGATATTAGTTGGGAATGATACTGATTAGTTTCGGGTGAAAATCTACCGACCTGTTTTCTTGTAATTAATTGTTGAAAAAATTTAAGCCGACTTTCATGGAAATTTTTTGGCGATATATATCATGGTCTTATAGAACTTACTGAAATATTACGGCCTTACGACAAGTAGTTTAATTTAAAAATTCATCAAAGTTTGAGAAAATGAGTAGTTTTTTTTACGTTTGTTAAAATTAAAATTAGACGATTACTTGGTATAACGATAGAGTACTTGGTCTTAATGAACATACTAAACCATTAAAGTCCTGCAGAATCTGGTTCACTTATAAAATTTATTGATTTGTGAAAATTTGCTTTTAGAAAATACTCCAAGTTAACGTGTTCGTTCGTTTCAATTATGTGTAATA